TATTTTAAATGATCTGAACTTAAAGAATTCTTTCCTTAATCCATTCAGATAACAGTTCGAAAGATGTTAACTTTTCAAGATGTTGATTATGGCGAGGCAAACAAAAATTACAATAGGGTCTTTAATTTGGGCATGTACTATCTATGCAAATCCCTAGTATTTATTGATTTCGATGATCAGCTTAAGTACATCGAATCTACATTTCCTATTTCTATTAAAATTAATAATTACATATTTAAGAATTATTTTTGATTAAATTACATTACTGAATAAACTGGCATAATAGAAATTCAAATTTCATTTAAAAGAAATTTAATTGATACCAAAAGAATATTTATAGCCTGTAAACTCAAAAATTGGAAATTTAGATCATTAAAATAGCAACCAAACATTATGTATTTTATAAAATTTTCACATTTTGCTTTTAATCATCTGAAGTAAAGAATTTGATTTCATTTGAAGAATATTTTAGATATAGTTTTGATACTAATTTAAACTTATTTCAGCTTTGTTAACTAAATTAAAATATATGTTATTGAAACCTTTTTTCTTAGAGATGAAAGAAAAATTATCAATAAAAATAATTTTACTAGTTAATTTCAATCATTTAGAATTGCTATTCTCATCCAAACAGATAAAAATAAATAGATAAAAGGATAATTTTTCTTCATTAACTTCTTTACATTGATCTATATAATTGATTGTGAGAATTAAGTCTTAAATAACATTATTATTCAAGACAATAATTAGAACAATAATATCTGTCCAGAAAACAGATAATTATCTCTTAATTTAGCAATAAATATCATTTTGAATAAAATTTCGATTTTCAAGAGATTTACTGATAAACCCTATAATTAAAGAAAAGATATATATATAGATATTATGATTGCAAAAATCTATTCTCATTATAGTTCTAATTTTTTATTTTATTTCTATAAGATTATTACAATTGATGAGGCTAATGAAGTTCATTCTCATTAAGATGAAAGTCATTAATTGACAAAGTATTTAAATTTTAATCAAAGGAGGTAATTTCATATCAATCAAACTATTTCCCCATTTTCAGAAATAAATGAACAAAAAACCTTGAAATGGATATGTAATAAAACGAATTTTAACATTAAGTGCATAATTAATAGACCCATTAGCTGATGATTATTGCTCTGATATTTAATGACAAATAATTTTTATTCTACAAAAATTAGTTAAAGATGGAAACAATAGTATTTATTATTATTATTATGACAATTAGTTATGCCAATTTCTATCTCATTTTATGAACAGAATTAAGCATATCATCAAAAATTATTTTTTCAATCCTTTTCAATTGAAATATATGAAATGAACTCTTATATTACTATAAATTTACTTCTCTTTTCAAAAGTTTTTAAACTTTTTTTAACCTTTATTTTTTTATATTTATTTTAGAATCCTAATTTAATTTAATCATTCTAGTTCTAATTAAGCCTGATAAACTAAGAATTTTGTTTGATTCTTAATATAGAGGAATCCTATAAATAACTTTAACTCATGATTTATTAAGATTCTTTATTTATAAATTCAGATCTCCTCTCAAAGTTTATCTTTTAATTACCATGAATTACTTTTTATTGTCGTTATTTGCTTAATTAATCAAAATTTTTCATAGATTATATACTTATTTCTTCTCTATAGCAAAAGTTTTCAAGCCTATAAGAAGACAAAAATTTTGAACAAGGGGAATATATTGCACTTAATAACATAAATCATAAGAAAATATGTTTTCATCATTGTTGATCTTATAAGTTGTCAAGATTATTTTCTTAATCTATTTTATNAATTATCTCTTAATTTAGCAATAAATATCATTTTGAATAAAATTTCGATTTTCAAGAGATTTACTGATAAACCCTATAATTAAAGAAAAGATATATATATAGATATTATGATTGCAAAAATCTATTCTCATTATAGTTCTAATTTTTTATTTTATTTCTATAAGATTATTACAATTGATGAGGCTAATGAAGTTCATTCTCATTAAGATGAAAGTCATTAATTGACAAAGTATTTAAATTTTAATCAAAGGAGGTAATTTCATATCAATCAAACTATTTCCCCATTTTCAGAAATAAATGAACAAAAAACCTTGAAATGGATATGTAATAAAACGAATTTTAACATTAAGTGCATAATTAATAGACCCATTAGCTGATGATTATTGCTCTGATATTTAATGACAAATAATTTTTATTCTACAAAAATTAGTTAAAGATGGAAACAATAGTATTTATTATTATTATTATGACAATTAGTTATGCCAATTTCTATCTCATTTTATGAACAGAATTAAGCATATCATCAAAAATTATTTTTTCAATCCTTTTCAATTGAAATATATGAAATGAACTCTTATATTACTATAAATTTACTTCTCTTTTCAAAAGTTTTTAAACTTTTTTTAACCTTTATTTTTTTATATTTATTTTAGAATCCTAATTTAATTTAATCATTCTAGTTCTAATTAAGCCTGATAAACTAAGAATTTTGTTTGATTCTTAATATAGAGGAATCCTATAAATAACTTTAACTCATGATTTATTAAGATTCTTTATTTATAAATTCAGATCTCCTCTCAAAGTTTATCTTTTAATTACCATGAATTACTTTTTATTGTCGTTATTTGCTTAATTAATCAAAATTTTTCATAGATTATATACTTATTTCTTCTCTATAGCAAAAGTTTTCAAGCCTATAAGAAGACAAAAATTTTGAACAAGGGGAATATATTGCACTTAATAACATAAATCATAAGAAAATATGTTTTCATCATTGTTGATCTTATAAGTTGTCAAGATTATTTTCTTAATCTATTTTATATAAAACTTTATTTTAAATTATGTATGTGATAAATATTAGGAAGAAGAAGATTTGCTGATAAAAATATAGAATTTGTAGAATCTCTTCGTGATTAATTATTTGCAATAATTCAAAAGTTATAGCAGAAATTATTGATAAATTTATAGTATCTTTATTATAATAATAATAATTGTATAAGACTTAAAATATGAATTGCACTTATCATATAAGAAATCAAATATCATGTATATGTTTAGCTCCTCACAAATGTTTATTTCAAAGGAAACTGTGTGCTCAATGTCTTTAAGAACATGAAATCGATGTAAAACATGCAGTTCCAATTAATATATTTAAAAAAATGGTTTTGAATAAATTAAAAGAATATAAGCTTGATGAGACATCTGAATTAAACAAACAAAGAATGAATTTAAAATCTATGCTTTCTCAAACAGAAAGTATGCTGAAAAAAATTTGGGAAAAATTATAAGAATCAATTAAATAAATTTATGATATCATTGAGATGTAAAATAAATTATATTCGAATATCATAAATGAAAATACTAATATTTTTGAATCGTCATATACTTACTTAGAAAAACTAATAAAAATTTTAGAAGGAACAACATTAAAAAATTGGAATGATTAAAGAAATTCCTATTTGATAAAGTTGTAAAAGGTGTCGGATTGGTGGGGTAAAGAAATTAAAGTTTTTAACGAAAAGATGAAGAAATAAATCAAAGATATTATGTAATCAAATAAGTAATATTTATAAATTTACCTAAGGAATCAACCAGTTTAAAAATAAGAATAACAATAGTGTTTTGAGTCAATCACTATTTTAAATTCTTTAACTTTTTCTGAAAAATATAAATACCCTAGTTGTTAGGTATCAGAAAATGGAAAGCTCTTTTATAATCAGAGTCTATTTTTTTCTTGTTTATGCGATTAGGTCATCCCTACTCAAGGTATTGTGAGATTTGGTTATTTAATCCACGATGTTATTAATAATTAGACTATGGTTGGAATAGGAGCAAGAGAAATGATCTCTAAATGTGGGTATATAAATATACAAGATTCTGGTAAAGGGTAAATAATATTTATAAATTTAGAGCTTATCTTATAATGAGTAGTGGTTATTGTTTTAGCCATGATCAATAAGAGAAATATCATAATTAAATTCCATTCACTTTTACTAAAAATGATATTATTATCATAGAAGTTGAAATTAAAATAAAGTACGTTAAATGGATAAAGAAATCAACTAATTAATCTTTTGTAAGGGTTTTATGAATATATAGCTTCTTGATATAGATCCAAATTATGAATATTATCCATGTATTAATGGTCCAGGAAAAGTAGAAATATTGACTGTATTAAGTTGATGAAATTTAAAATATCATAATTAATAATAATTATAATTATTATGATTCTACCCTGGCAAATTTAAAAAATGAGTGTAATTTAGAAGATTATTAATTACATTCTGAAGGGATTCTAAAAATAATATAGATAAGGTTTGAAATTTATTGAAGTTTTTTTTGAAAATTTTTGGGAAATGATTTTAATTTTGGTAATCTAAAATATTTCATATAGAATAGGCTAAAAACTAGATAGAGGATTTCAATCAAAAAAAAATTGTTTTTGATACTATTTTCCAAAATTGCATATTCATTATTAAATAAGTTGAAATGAATATAACACAATAAATAAGGATTTTGTAGTATGAAATGCAATAATCTTACCTTTAATATTTTTATTGGTATTATTGGTAGTTGAAGTAATATCATTGATATGTATCCTAAAGACTATGATATTATAATAATAATTAAATAATGATAACAAAAAATAAAAAAATTGACAACAATAAATTAATAGGCAATAAATATAAAATCAAAAAAGTTTTGAAAAAGCATAAAAAGTTTAATATGATCCTTTATGAATTGTAAATCTGCTGATTATTAAATATACAAAAATTTAATATAATCATTCTATTTAGAGTAAATTCTTCATTACTTTCTAAAATGGATAGAAGACTATGGGGATAATGCGGGGAATATAAAAATTATAACAAAGTAGGAAGAATATACTTTAGAATTTTGAATAATGTATTTTAGTTTGAAATTAAATTTATTAAAAAATAATAGAATTAGATATATATAAATTTAATACTTTATTTAATTATTAAAATTAATACATTTTGCAGAGTATTTAATCTTGTAGAATAAAAATCATGAATACCAGAAGGCATTGTAATATAGGATCAGTCTTTGGAATATAGATCTATCATTATATTCTGATTCAAATATAAAAGAAAGGAAGTGCAATTTAAAGAAATCAAAGTACAGGTATGCTCATATATCTAATTATTAATATCAAATTCAATATTCTGTTTATTAATTGAGTTGCAACAAGGTTATGAACGATATTAATATCAAATAATTCAAACAAAATTTATTAATAATATTATCTTTAATAAGATCATATAGAAATTCTGAATTCTTGAAAAAATGATAATAATATTTATAAACTATATATATATAATGAAATTACTAAGATTAAAATTTTATATATCCTTATCTAAGAGATATAATTCATTTTTTTTTAATTTAAGTATTTTACTTATTAATCATTGTATTCATAACAAAAATTTTGTTTCAAAAAGAGCTTTATCTTTGTAGGATTCTTAATTTTCTTAGCTTAGTGCTTGATTTAAATAAAAAATAATATATTTATTACTTAGACTTTATGCAAAATTAGTATATTTTTAGATTATATATAATTCATTTACAATGTCTTACTAAATTTACTATTACAGTCAATTAATAACATTTCATTCTAAATAACATATAAATTTTATATTAATAAATAAGAAATAATAATAATTTATCAGCTAATCAAACAATACTAGATAAATTTAAGTATTTGATTAATTAAACATTATAGATCAAAAGTATTACCAAGATTTAGTATCTTAATATCTATTTATTATGTACTTTACGTTATTTGATAAACAAATAAATCAATTATTATATTCGAAATTTCCAAATTGATAGTCAATCAAGAGATTTCCAAAAGATACTTTAGTTAATTAAAGTTTTATCTACTCATTTATTTACAATTTTTTAAACTGAGGTGATTTTTCAGTTAAAGTTCCCAATATTAGCTGTTGATAAGGATTGAATACAATTAAAAATAGTAGGTTTTTAGTTTAGTTATTTTTAATATGAAATGGGGATAAAGGTTAGGAAGTGTAAAATGGTTTCAAATTCTTGGGTAGTATTAGTTATAGATAGAAGGATGAACTTAGCATAATAATGCTTTCTATGTACTTCATCATAACAAGCTGTTAAAATGGATAAAAGAGTAGAAGTAATTTAATGAGTACTTCGATTTACCATTTTTAACTATAACATATTCAAAAAAGGCAAATCTTTAAGAATTTCACCAGATAAAAGAAGTTTGAAGAAAATTTTATTTGTTAATATAGCAATAAATATGATAAAAAAACAATAATTTGAAGTTGAGTAGGATAATTGCAAATATGAAAAGATAAATTAGGAATCAATAATAGATGGATTCTTAATAATTAAAATTCAAGAAATTTAACTAATGATTATTCAAGTGGAATTGAAAAATATTTATATTTGAATATACGCTTCATAATATATTAAATATTTTTATTGCTATGATGTTTATCAATAATGACTTGAGACATTGCTTAAATCTCTACATATGGCACACATCTATTATTTTACCACACACATAATTCTACTTGTGGGCCATTAAGATTAACCAAGAAATTGTGCATTAATCTTTATAATTATGACCTTGAAATTAAAATTCAATGCAGGATTTAAAAAAGTAACTCTATTAGTATGCATGAGTCAAACTTGAGCATACTAACTAATTAGTTACATCATCGCAAGAAGAAATAACTGAACATAAATTTATTTTAGAGTTCCAAAAAAAAGACCATCTGATCCCTAATAATCCAAAAGTACATTCTTAAGATTTATACTTATCACATGAATGCAAACTTTATGTTGATTAAAATGTTCCATTTTAAATATATTATTATTCAATTGATTAAGCAATGTCATTGAAAGTACTAAAACCTTTTAAATAGGTGCATTTAGTAAAGGCAACATATTTATTAAAATTCTACATACATTTATTCTATTTAGAACAATATTAACAGAATCAGATATTTCAAATTCCAAATTTATTTAATTCTGTATTATAAATGCATAATTTGATTTAAATATTAATAATAAAAAATAACAATTAAAATGTTTTTCTTACATAACATGAACAAGTATTTTTTGGTTGAAACTTATTTAATGAACATGTAATGCAAGTTCCAGTTGTTTCCAAAGTGTTACTCCAATGATAAGTACCACCAGATGTTTGATAACAATCTTAAAATGATTTTCAATGATTTAAGTAGCTGTGGTACAAGAATTAGTAGTAGTGTTTCAAACTAAAATTTATGTTGGATTTGCTGATATTCTAAAAAATATAGGAACATGAATCTTAAATTGAATATGAAGAACAAAAGAGTTAGAAGATAAATTACAATCATATTGAGATAATAGTTAAGAACACATAAATTAGTTTTTCGGGGTGATTGAATATTAAAATGAAATATTAAATGGAATAAAAAAAACATCTCCTAAATTAGTACTCCATCTAGCAGTATAATCAGAATTAATGTAGCAATTTTATTCAGAATATAGATTATCAGCAGAAATACAAGATCCATTTAGCCATGCACATGATTATATATAATTCTAATTATTTGGATTAATGGAAAACTTACATGATTCTAAAGTATAAGTTTGTTCTCATGTTTTAGACTTACATCCATCTTAATAATAGCAAAAAAGATTGATATAGCATAATTTTGGATTACCAAGTTTATTGGAATAAGATTAATATTTAAACTTACCTAAGTAGTTATTCCATTAGCATATATAGTATGGTGGCATCACATATTAATTGCATTATGTTTAATTTAGAACTTCACAATTTATAAAGTTTATTTTAGAATATGATTCACATTTAGCAATAAGCAGGTTTATCTTAATTTAACAAAGGGCAATAAAGTTATTAAGAAATGCATTCAAAATCATAACCAGGAAATAGATCGCTACCAAAAGATTCTTATAGAATTGTAAGAAAAAAGGAAAGCAGATATAATTGTAAACCTGTAATAGCTTATTAAGTGGCTTACATGATATATATCATATTTATAGTATCACTAGAAGAATTAAATTGCATAAGCTAATTACTTGATTAATTCAAAATTGAAGGATAATGTCATATAAAGTAGTTAAGATGCGACTGTAAATCAAACTTTGAAAATATAAACTAAAATTAGTCATTAATTCTATATCGAAAATTTCAACATAACCACTAATTTAAAAAGTAAACTGGTTCTTTCAATAGAAATTAAAAAATACATATAATTTACACAGCCTATTTGATTTGATTTGATAGCATCTTTGAGATTACAGTATTAATTCTGAGTGCTCATAGAATTACTTTTTATTGCATACTATAATTGCCAATTTATCCAGTTTTATAATACATTTTTACTATTTTTAGAATATTAATATATTTGTTAATATTTAAGATTTATTTTAATTATATTATTATATTTTTATTCTTGCTTTAACTACAAAAAGTAAATTATAAATATTGAAGAATAAATAATAATACAACTTAATTTTTTTAAATAATCAATAATAAATCTTAAAATTAAAATAAATTAATAACATGAATTAAAATATCATAATTTTCTTTCAAATTATTATTTGATCATCTTTCCCTTTTTTTAACCATTTTCATAATTTTGTGTATATAAATATAACGTTGATTACAAATTTCGATCAAAATTTTCATCCAGATCAGTCCATATACCATTTCTCATACCTTTCTCATCATAACTTCCACCTCCACTAATTTATATTTAAATTTTATATTTTTACATATGTCTTTCATCATATATTGTTTTCCATTACCCAACCTTGATTCCTTACTTATATTATCCTTAGTAAGATATTTCACAGAAACTAAAAATGTTAAAAATGATACCAACTGAAATTATCATGCAAATCAGTCCATATTCCATTTTTTAATCCTTTTTCATTATAAATTCCTCCTGATCTATAATAATTAGTAAAATACTAACATAATTTTATTTTAATCAATAATATTCCAAAATCCAATCCTTTTTCCATTTTTATATTCTCCTTCTTCAGTGATTTAACAAGAACTATATTAAACATGATTAAAGAACCCCCAAAAATTCTAAAATAATTCTATCCATTTTCCTTATTTAATTCCATTTTCATCAAAATGACCACATCCCCTTTAGATATCTAATTTTCATACATTAATGTTGTCATGTAATAAAAATATTTCCAATTTCCATACCTGTACCCATTTTAATAAAATCCATGAAAAGTTATTTAACAGTGAATAATAAATATATTTAATAATTTACCAATTAAATTTTTCATGTACCTCAATCCATTAACCAATATTATATCCTTATTAATCATAATGTCCTCCTCCACTTAAATTAGTATTTAAAATACATGATTTCATCTAAGTATTTTATTACCCATTTTCCAATCTTGGCTCCATTTAAATATTAACCAATCTTCAATGCAAATAATCCACTATAAAATTCAAGTGATTTTGTACAATAGTTTATATTAGGATCTATATTTTTCTACTTTAAATTCTAATGTTTATCTTAAAAATGAATATTGAAAAATCAAATTTTAATTCATCAGTACTGTTAGTTTATGTCATCAAAATCAATCCAATATCCATCCTTCGCTCCATTATTAGTATAATTTCCACCTCCACTAAACTTTTAAAAATCATATTTACAGAGACATAAATTCTGTATTATAATAACTTTTTTTATGTATTGCATCCCATTTACCCACTTTGATTTCATCATTATAATTTCCAATCCAAAGGACATTGTTTGTCCTTTATTATATATATATATTTCTACCCAGAATAACTTTATATTGGTTCCTACCATTTTCCACATTTTATACCTAATTAATTATAAATACCAAATCCACTTAAAGTTAATATATAAATACATTATCTTATCATTGTATATTGTTTCCCATAAACTTTATTTTCTACCCATTTTATACTCTCCTACATGAATTAGATAATCATCTCTTTAGAATAATAGTTCATAGTTACTCATAAGTATGATTTCCTAATTCTGACCACTTTCCTATTTTAATTCCATATTCATTATATTATCCACCAATATTTAGATTTATACCATTCCATTTTGCCTTCCATTGTCCTATAAATTATCCCGAATTTCCTTTTTCTCCTTCCCATGATAAATATTTGACCTATTCAAGGTCAAAAATTATATTAGTGATATAATTGAATGAATCTCTATAAATGGATGTATTATAAATATTTACATCCTTAGAATAACTCCATTTTTTATATACATTAGTCTTCCGTTTTTCTAAAAAATAAAGAACTCAGTATCATATTAAACCCCTAAGAAACAATATTTTCCTTTTAATTTATAAATTCTTTCATCTAAGAGTTTAAGATCTATATTTTCCAAAGTTTAATTTAATGCAAAACCTATATCACTATGACAATTCATTATATAAATATTAAATACTTATTTGAAATTATTTTTAGACTCAATTATTCTTTAATAACAATATATAGATATATCTAAAAATAACTCTCCTAAAAAATTTATAGATTAAGAAAATAACAGTGTTATTAAATTAAAATACAAATGATATATTTTTTAATATTAGTTGAATCTCAATGGTTGATGGGGTTATTTATATAGCATTATTTGTACTTAATCATTTTAAATAAAATCAAAGTTCCATAAATAAAATATTAAATTTATTAAGATATCTACTATATTTATTTCTTCTTTAATATCTACTATGATAAAATTTACATATATATTAATGAAATTATATGAAGTATACAGCATAAATATCTAACAATTAGTATAAACAATTTTTGTTCTATTTACGAATTTCTTTATCTAAGTAAATACATAAATCATTCATTTTTCGATTTGATTAAAAGTTTGATTTTTAAATTCCTCTAAAGCTTTATGATTTCACCAATTTTCATTCATGGGTATAAATATAAACAATTCCAAAAATTATTTATTCAAAAAATTTCTCATGAATAAGGAATTTCAAGAAGCTTTCGAACTCGAGAATTACTATGAAAAGGGTAAAAATATAGTATCTAAATAAAATTATTTTATTGACTATTCTTTGTTAGTTTTAAAGAATAAATGGACAAATTATAATATATTATAATTTAGTTTTAATATTATAGCATCTAATGATAAAAAATAATTTCAGAATAGATTACCAAATAGATAATTTATTGTAATATTTTTATTTCTTGTATTTCTATAATATGAGTAAAATTATTATTGGTAAAATTTTAAGATTACTTGTATCAAAGGGAATCAAAAATTAAAATAAATATGTTTTTCTTTATAATACTTTAAACTTAGCTTTATCAAATATATAAACAATAATGTAAATACATATTTATATAATTTTATGGATTATTTAATATTCTTACAAAGAAACAATGTATAATTTTTAGTGTAAATTAATAATGTATATAATTCTTTTGTATTTGTATAATTCATAATAATGGTTCTTTATAATTCAATAAACTTAACTTTATATATTTATAAGTTTCTCTTTGTAAATACTTAATTTTTATAATATTTATTAAATATTTTAGAAATTTTTCAGTATCAATTAATAATTTATGTAAAGTTCCACAATGCAAATCATTAAAAATATGAAAAACTATATTTTTTTTAAATTAAATATATAAATATAATTATGATAAAAGATTAAGTAAATCTAATCATTAAAATTAAATAATTATTTGAATATCTACTTGTCTATCTCCATAATCTTTGATTGATATTGATAGAATTAAATAAATGAATAGTATAATAATAATAATAATAATAATAATAATAATAATAATAATAATAATAATAATAATAATAATAATAATAATAATAATAATAATATATTATAGATTATTATATTTGATTAATAAAAATAATAGAGATATGAATAACAATAATAGAATTACAAATGATAGTATTGAATAAAATAGAGTGGAGTGTTCAAAAAATGGATAAAATCAAATAGAAGTAATATTTGTAATTAATTAATTTAATAGTCTTCATTCAATAAAATCTAAAATCAAAACATTTTATAATCATAATCAAATTAAAAAATATAATCATTCAATAATAAATCATTTATCTATCAATTAATTCCAGAATATTCTATTTTATAAAAGGAAATCTGTTATTCAATAGCTATTAATCATGATTGTTCAATATTTTTGGTTGGATGTGATAGTTAAATAAAAGTATTTGAATTTAAGTAAGGAATGATTAAACAAACTTAAATTTTAAGTAAACATAAGTATTTTGTATATACTCTAAACTTTATGAATAAATCTAATTAATTTATATCTGGGAGTGCTGATAAATCAATAATTATATGGTAAACAAATTAAAAAAATTAATGGATTCCCTAATAGATATTAAATGGACATAGTAGTATTATCTATTGTTTAATATTAAATAATAATGAAGATTTAATTATAACAGGAAGTAGTGATAACACTATTAAATTTTGGATGAAAATGAATATATGGACATGTTAATAGACAATTAAAGATCATTCTTTTAGTGTATTTGGATTAAGTGTTAATTCATAATAAAATAAAGTTATATCTTGTGGTTATGATAAATTAATCTTAATTATGGAACAATAAGGAATGAATAAAGAATGGATTGTAATATAAAAGATTACAGTTGAATAATTTAATTATCGAGTATGCTTTATTGATAATAATATGTTCACATTATCATAATATTCCAAAGAATACATATCTGTTTATGAGATGAACAGAATCAATCAATAATTTACAAAGATTAGTGATATTGAGGTAAAATGTGGATCAGATACTAATTGCTTATTTCCTTAATAATACATAAATTCGAAATGTATTCTTGTAAGTAAGAATGGTCAATATGTCAATTTAATAAGAAAAAAAATAAATGGAGAGTTTTTAAATCAATAATCTATTCATTTTAATACTTTTGATTTATTTGGAAGAATGAGTGATGATGGATAGTATTTAATAACTTGGGATGATAAATCAAATTAAATATAAATCAGAAAATATAAAGAATAATGAGCATTTTTAGAAATATTTATTCCATTTTTTTTTTTTAATTATTATCAGTTTTACTTATATTTTCTACTTTATTATTTAAGATTTAACATTCATATTGATTTTATGAAAATGGGTAAAATTTTAACTTTTCTCATATTTTAATCTAATAAATCAGTGAATAAAAATAAAAAGGCAATTTGAAGATATCCGAAAATATGATTCAATTTTACTTTTAGTATAGTCTTTTAGAAGATAAACATAGGTTTTTTAAGTATCTAAAAATACAATATAATTTAAAGATACCTATGGTTAAGCGGTTGATGAGAAAATATGATTTTAAAGCTTATTTATTATATTTTTGAATAATGATTGGGGATGATGTTCTAATATTTAAAAGAGAGAAATTACCCAAACATTATAATTATTCTTTTCTAATAGTTTTAAATTAGCCATTACACAGACTAATTTTCTTGTGCATTATCATTTCCAAAAATAAAACTTAATCATGCTTGAGAATATCTACAATATCTCTATGTTCTAATGTTAACAATTTATGATTGCATACTAATAATTCAAATTTACTTGCGATCTATATTAAAATAATTTTTATTTACTAATGATAGTTATTTATTTCAAATTGTTCTTTATCAGAATTAAGTGAAAAAAATAAATTTAAATTAATTAAGATTCTGATAACTCACTTCAAAGAATAGATTAAGTTGATTCCATAATAAGTATAAAAGTTATTTTATAAAAATACTTTATTTTATTTTATGAATTGAAATCTATGTTAATACTATAAATTAATATATATTAAAATGATTTCATTAAGGCCAAAATTTAAAGTGAAGATTCTATATAAAATAATAATTTTAATCCATCATAATGTTAAATATCTAAATTATGGCTGCATTAAAAATCATAAGCTTTTTTATCATTAGAATTACCCATCTTTTGTCATTTATATAATAAATTTCATCCAAATTAGCTTTGTTATAATTTGACAAATAGAGATTTTTATTTATAATTATCTAGATTTAAATGTTTCCAGACAACTTTCGTTTATGGATTTAAATTCATCTTAAATAGAAGATGAAAACATGAAATATTCATGGTAGTATGTTGAATGAAAAGATTTAATTTGAATATCAGATGGGCTAGGTTTTTCTTTTATGGGATATATTAGGCCCAAAGTCTTCAAAATGTCTTTTTTCTACTGTGTATTTATTATTTTTGGTTTTCGACTGAAGGCATTCACTCATTATCTTAGAATAATTCAACTATTAAACAAAATTTCATCATAAATATTTTAAAATTTAAATAAATTGTATATTTCATAATATATTTTTATTGTAAATTGTGGAATTCCAAAATTTAAATAGCAACAAAATTAAAAAAAAGCTGCCCTTAAAAACTTATTATCTTAAATAAAATATGGTGTTGAAATATTTTTGTATACTTATAAACTAGTAACTACTTTATAGCAAAGTATACTTATTTTTTATTTGAAATGGAACCTAAGATTTGTTGTACTTTATATTTTGGGTTTTTTAATTTTATTATGACACGTTCAAGATAAATGTTATATCGTGGTTTAGAAATTATGTATATTTATTCAGATAAATTATATTCAAGATGAATTTCAATTAAAAGTTTTATATCCTAATCTATTATAACTTATTCTAAAGTGAAATTAAATATATCCTAGAATTGATTTAGAAATCAATATCAATTAAGCATTTTAAAACTATTAGATGAGCATTTGTTTGAAGATTTCTTCTATCCTCTGTCATTCAGCTCATTATAAAATTAATTATTATTTACTTTTTTTTTATAATACTTTCTATTTTGTTAACATTAAATAAGGATTCCTTTAAAGAAAAAAGTTTTTTATTAGTATACTTTCCCAATTCTAATTTATAAAATAGATATTATACATTGCTTGAAATGCTAATGGCTGACCAAAATTTTTGAAATTTTAATTTCTTCAATTATTTCCCTTGTAAATATCCAAAAAAACATTTAAAATTCTTTTCCCTGATATATTATATGTTGTATTAATGAGAACTATTTATTTTAATGGATAATCCTTAAATCATATCACCTATTAAAATAAAATCATTTAAAGTAAATTTTAAATTTTAATTTTTTAATAATTCATAATTTTATATATTACAAATATATAAGCTAACTAGATTATAGAGGAAAGATAAATGCAATTGAGAACTAGCTATGCTTTCAGAACTATTGGATATATATCAAAAAATATTTTATTTACACATTAATTTCAATTTCTTGATATAAATTCAAATGATACTGATCTTGCTCTAAAAAGTATCATTAAAATTAACAGATATGAATAAATGAATTCAATATAATCTATTTGGGGTATATAACTCTAATTAATCAAGGATAAACAGAACTATGGAATAATAGAAGAAGGTCCTAACTTAACTATAGATAAACTCAAAAAATATACCTATTCTAAAATACAATTTAATACTTTTACCATAAATTAAAAATATATTATGCATTATTCAATTAGCTATTTTCTTAGCAATATAATGGAATTTATTAAGAATATAATATCAATAATAATCTATTTCGAAATATAAACTATTGTTTTTATTACTCCTACAATAATATCAATCTAATGGTTGATGAACAATTATAGTTATTATATAATTTATTTCATGTTTTTAAAATTTATAGATTATTCTAAGATCATTTAAAATACTTATAACAGATTTATGTTTAGTCTTAAGTATTTGATACAAAACTAAATGCCATAATGTTTAATGATTAAATTTAAATGATTTACTTAAATTTAAAATTATTTCATTTTAATCATAATTAATAGCATTTTATTTAATAATTACAAATAAAATTAAAATATTATATCATTAATCCCTTTCTTCAAAAAGTAGAAGTGAGCTAACCCTTCTTATATCTTAACCTAAATATACAAAGGTTATATGTTTTATTATTTAAATATTTCATTATTTTTTTTCTTTAATTTAAATCTTAAAAGATACTATTGCTTTTAATATTTTATCTTAATAATAAAAAAATTGTTTTTTATTTTATTTTAACTTTTTCAATTACTTTTATCATAATTATTTTATTATTGAGATATCAATTTTGATCATCATAAATTAGAAATCCTTTTAAATATCATTTGAAACTAAATTTTTATCCTTTTATTTAAAATATAAGTTTCTATATAATTTAATATACAACTGAAACTCTAGCTTTAATATCAGTAGGTCTGATTAGGTGAACTGAAATAATAACTTGATGCTAGAAAGAACTCTTGATATCACCTCCTTAGTATCTTATGTTAAGGATTATAAAATATGGACTAGCAAGATGTTATGGTCTTGATTGTTAGCTATAAGAGAGATGATCCGATTCTGTAGCATTTTTTTCGCTAAATTTGATCTTATGGTCACAAATTACTAATTATCTCAGCCCCTACTCTCAGAAAAAGGAGTGGAACTTAATTTAACTGAGCTCAGATTTAAAGTAAAAAAAATTTTAGATTTAAATTAAATTTAAATTATTAATAAAAATAGAAAAAATATAATAATTCCTCAAAAACCAAAGTTCTTTATACTTAGTTAGCTCGGAAATAATCAAAAGGATTTTAGAATAAATAATGAAGGACTTTAATACCTATAGTAAGGCGTAAGTGATTGAGGAATTGATATTGGAGTTATAATTAACTTGAAGACTTATATATGTTAATGATGCTGGTATTTTTCCAAGTTAGAGCTTTAGATATTTTGTACTTAATTTTTACGATGCAGTTAAAAGATGCATTCATCTAATGAGTTGGAATGATAATATCACACTTGTGAGTATACAGAGAGAATAGATGGACTAGATAAGATGGGCCTATAAGATTGGCTTTTTATCCAACCTTATAAATTAGATAAATTGGAGATACTAGTTTGTTAAGTGTGTCTAGATATCAGACAACAGAATAAGGTAGAAAGGACTCTAGAAGTTGATTTGAGATAAGAAATGATTAATTAGAGAGGTTGTTATTGGATCTGGAGAAAATTAGAGAAAATAGAGGGGTGATAAAGAGAGGGATTAGATATCAATAAAATTAGACTATTCTATTTTTGTTTGAAGGATTTTTTATACTTAAAGAATTTGCTTGTATGTAATGCCATAACATTTAACCATTTTGAGACTTTATAACTCAGTGTATAGATCTCATAATAAGATAGTAATGACTTCTTTAGTGAAGAAATAATTCCTTACACTGAGGCTAAGAAAATGATTTATGTTGACTTTTATGTTTGGCAGAATCTTTTGGTTCCTGCTATAATAAACTCATTCCTTGTTCATTTTTGTTAGAATTTTGAAGGATGAGAGAAACGATTAAGAGGGAATGGTAAGAGATAAATCTAGTAGAGGTTAATTCATATATTGAATTTCTTATATTAATAAAGAAAGATATTTCATTGTATATATATTTGCAATCAAATGATATATCAATTTTTTCCCCTGTTTCAAGGGAAATTTTACTACTAATACGTTCAATCTTGAAATAAGATTTTACATTTTAGGGCAAAGGTCTTATTAATACACATTTAAGTTAACTAGTCTGATTCCTAACTCTCTTCCAGAGAAAGTATTGGAATTCAAAGATCCTACCAATTTAACCTCCTTTTTAATTTTATTGCATCATATTCTGAAAAATGAAACACTATTTAAATATTTTACAGTTACACATATGGTTCCACACTTTAGTATTATTGTGTATTTATTTCACTAAAAAGTGGTATAATTAATTATTTTCTTTGTTAATATCAATAAAGGTGGTCTAATTATAGGTCCCTTGTCTCTGGATCAATCCTCCAAGTCACAATCTTTCTAGGTTAGGTTTAACTCCTTCCTTTCAGCTATTTATACGAGAAGGAGGATTTCTATGGCCAAGTACTTAGGTTTATAATGTCTTGTGATTAAGAAACCTATTTTCTACCTATTGTAAAATTATCATCATTATTAAAAAGGAAATTAATGAAATTATCACTTACAAGTAATAGTTTTTGGCTTTTTTGAGCTAAAACTGTAAACAATTATTAAAAATTCTCGATATTAATATTACTATTTATTTATAAATTTAGCAATTTTTTCTGATAAATAAATTTTTTTTTAATGCTTTGGGACAACAGTGAATGGATTGAAAATTGATTTTTGAGCCAATTAATATAATTAAAAATTGAAATAACTTATGAGATCTATTTTTAATTAACTAACATTATTCGATATTTTTCAAAATTTCTAGTATATTTATGTTATAATTTTGTAATAATTACTTATATTACAATTCATTACAAACTCCTTAGTTATTCGAAAGTTGAAATTATGTGAAAATTATGAATATCATTGAGCATTTAGATGAATTTTAGAATCCAAATCATATTACTACACGATTTAAATGCTTTTTAATAATAAAATGTAAATTATAGAATTATAATAAAACTATTAATTAAAATATTATTAAATTAATTGATATACTAATTTTTATAATGATTTAAATTTTGAAATGACAATCTTAATTCTACTTAATAATTTGTAAAATGTTGAACCTATTTTATTTTTTATATTTTAAGCTATATTAGTTAAGTCAACATATGCTAGGGTGTTTAAGACTTTTCAATTACACCAAAAAGATCATCTAATTTTATAATGTTTCGGACAAATATTATAGGTATATTTAATTCTATATTGAAACTGTAGACTTCAAATTTAAATAATTTTTCTAATTGTTTTATGAATGATTTTAGATATTACAATATTGATAATATTCTAAATATATAAATTAAGCAAATGATGATAATTTTGTAACTTTGTTTTCAATCTAAATTCATTGTTTGTAATTAAGATTAGTTTCTTATAACTTTATTCTTATAATTAGATTGAAACGAATCAATCTGATGGTTTTTTTTGTTGTTTCATTTACTCTTAAAAACTAACAGTACTGATATGTCTTTTTTATTTATTGATACTAAGATGCTCATATTGTACTGCTTAGTAAATTTGTTATTAATTTAAGTTTTGGGATATCCTATTCTCAGTTTTCGATAAATTATGATCTATATTTTAATGATAGATTTTTAGTTCTCTCCAAAATAATAAAAAGTTATAATGAATTTGGCTTCATAGAGAAAGAAGAGATTATATTATTAAATTGGCTCCTTTTTGTTACCTAGATATAAGGATACCATTCTTCTCTTATAATTATATATTATATTTGATGGGTAATAAAACTTTCCAAAACGAAAAAATTAATTCAAGTGTTCAATTTAAATAAATCATTCATTTAAGGATAAATTTAAGTTATGTTCTTCAATTGTATATTTAATATATGTTGAATCATTGTGAACTTTAAAATAAATAAAATTAAAAATTATACAGGACCACAATTTTTCATCTCTCAACCTAATTATACTATCATTCGAAGATAAATAGTGCCTGTAGAATTATTTGATATTACTCTTATAATTTTTTTTTAATATTAGCAGCCCCATTAAATTCCTTTGACTAATCTAAAATTCTTCTTGTTGTAGTCATACGATTAACCTTTTGAAAAATTTGACTAAAGAAGTTCAATATTTTTTTTTAATAAATGATAATGGCTGCTATATAAAATTATTAAACTTTAAATTATTGGGAATTTCGTAATAAATTAGTAAGGTTTAGTTTTATTAATCTCTTATTCTAAAAAATTATCTGGTTTACTTGGACAATTATTGAAAACAAAATATTTTATCACCTCTCAGGATAAAGTTTCCCTGGTATCAATTGTTACCATTATTGCAAGCTAGTAATTAAACAAATCATAAACAATAAAGCTTTCCTAAAAATAATAATCACTTTTAGACCATGATATTTCTTCATTTCTCATATTGGGATTCCACATTTCTTGATATGGATTGTATTTTAGTGAACTCATATCTTCCATAAGTAATAATATAGAGAATTAGTTATTTCCATACTAGAATTTATTCAAAATTATTTCTTTTGCTCTAATTAGTTTTGCATTCATAAGAATATTTTACAAAACTAATCTTTAATTAGACACCCCTTATCAAGTGTAGGTATATTTATATATAAGCTTTCCCTTTATTTTAACAATCAATTGTTTAATCTGAAAAGAAGTTGATTGAATATTATTTGAGCAGAAAGTTCTGACTAGATGTAGAAAAAGATAAATTTCAATGGAAAATTAAGAACCAATAGTTCATCAATAATTTTATATCTTATAGCTATATTAAGCAGAATAGTCAAGTATTATGAAAAGTATTTGTTGGTTACACTTTATTCTTAATTATTAGTAAGAACTTAAGAATTTTTATAAACCTTTCCTCTCTAAAGATAAATATATAGTAATACTTCATCTACCGTATAATTAATTACTCTTTATTCTTAAGTTCATTTTTAAGAAGTATTTACTATAATTCTTTTAAACTCTTATACTTATATAATCATGAAAATACTTATTATTTTTTAGATTATGGTATTCAGTTGATTATGGAATTATTATTCACTTAGTTAATTGAGGATTAATTTTGCTCTGATGCTGGTAGATTAGGATAAGTTAATGATGTTGAAATTATAATTAGTGATATTCATAACAATATTATGAATAAATAATTCTTGATTTTCTAAATTAAAACTTTAACTAGATGATAACAAATCTCCAAGTTAATTTTGAATTCCCCGAATCATTTCAATTTTAGAAATCTATATGATCATTTTTTAGGAAACTCTTTAGATCAAAAAGTTTTTGAAGAATTTTTACTCAAAAATTGTTTTTTGATGATAAAAAAGGATGTTAATCTTTAATATTCTAAAAATATAAAGATATAATAGTTAAAAGTCACCAATTAGAAAATGAAAGAAATTTTTTACAAGACCAAACTTTAGTCATCTCTAAAAACAACTAATCAGCAAAATATTCGATATTTAAACCATCCTTTTTATTGATTTTAAATTTTTACATAAAGACTTTTTTATTAATTCAAAAGCTATATTTGCTTGCATCTTATAATTTGATTAGATATAAATATAGGTTTATATGCAATATAAATCTATTCCTCTGATGACTTCGTTATTTTAAGCAGTTTATCAAATTATTAAAGTAGTGCAACAAAATTGCAATCATATATCTAATCTCTTTTTATTCAAAATACAACCATTATACTTCTTATATTTAATCATTTAGGATTATAAATTAATATTTATAAATATCTTTATTATTCATCATCGAATTGGTATATTATCTAATATTTTTATTTTAGATTAATAACCAACACCCACACATGGATATAATTCTTATGATGCACCTAGATCCAACTACTAATAATCGATATTAGATTTACAACAAATGTTGCTTATGGATTATTCTATCTACTCCATTTAATGTATTTATGTTCAATAGATACTTCAATTATTATTATATCATTATTTGTAAATCTAAAGGATAATGATTTACTTTATAAATCTTTGTTATGATGTGAATAGATTTAACTACCTTAGGCTATTAAATATGTTCTATTATAATATAAATATATACCCAGTTTAATAACAATTCAAATAAGGATTTTCTCTCATAATCCCTCTAAATCCTATTCCAACCATAAAATATGATCCACTGAGTATTTAAAATGCAAATTAAATTTTCCCAGTCTTTGGAATTACTTATTCACAAAAACAAAAACACCAACCAGAATTATTGGTATCTGCCACAACTTTCCCTCCTTCACTTACCTAACAATTAGTATACTTATAAGTATTTGAAAATAATAATGATTTGTTATATAATTGAATCTAAAAATAATTTGATAAATGAATTATAAATTTACTTTTTTTAATTCGATTTTATTTTATTTTTCTTATTCTAAATTAACTTTATTAATTTAATCAGGTTTGTTTAATGCTTCTTGTATTTCTTATTTTTTTTAAGTTAAATTTTGATTAAACTCTTATTTAACTTTGTTTTCTATGCAATAATATCAATATTTATTACATTCATCTTCGAATTTCTTTATCATTGTTGTCTTATCTTATTCATATTACTTTTTAAGATTATTATTATCTAAAATAATTTATTAATATTATTCTTTTATATCTCTTAATTCTTTTTCCTTTAACAATATAGTCAAAAATTAAAAATGACAGTTAATTCTTTTCTTAACTATTAATATTTTTTAAATCATAGGCTTATACAAATTATTTAAAAATTGAAAACTGAGCTTAAAAATATTAGAATTTAAGAATTTATACAACAATTCTTTTTTAGAAGCATTTTGTAACAATATCATTCTATGGAAGATTTATTAAGAAATCTAAAATATCAAAGATTTTTGCTTTTGATAAAAGGGGCTAATGATGATCATAAATTAATAATATTGTAAAACCAAGAAGGGAAAAAAGACTAGGAAAAAAATAAAGTATTTGATTTATAGTCGATTGGAGACTTCTTAATTAAATACTACTCAATTACTTAGGAGAAATTTAACATAAGTAAATAAGTCAATAATAAAACTTAATTTGAATCATTAAAATATAAAAATATATAGAAAAAGAGGATCAGTAGGATAATTAGGAAATATAGATTATATTGGTGGAGTCTTCGAATCCAGAATAATCAGCAGTTATAGTCATAAGAAATAGAAGTTAGTCAAATACATAATTAAGAACTATTTAAAAAATTGAATATCTAGGAATTGGATTCTTAAATTAGTATTAGATATAAATAAACGTTANTTCAAATAAGGATTTTCTCTCATAATCCCTCTAAATCCTATTCCAACCATAAAATATGATCCACTGAGTATTTAAAATGCAAATTAAATTTTCCCAGTCTTTGGAATTACTTATTCACAAAAACAAAAACACCAACCAGAATTATTGGTATCTGCCACAACTTTCCCTCCTTCACTTACCTAACAATTAGTATACTTATAAGTATTTGAAAATAATAATGATTTGTTATATAATTGAATCTAAAAATAATTTGATAAATGAATTATAAATTTACTTTTTTTAATTCGATTTTATTTTATTTTTCTTATTCTAAATTAACTTTATTAATTTAATCAGGTTTGTTTAATGCTTCTTGTATTTCTTATTTTTTTTAAGTTAAATTTTGATTAAACTCTTATTTAACTTTGTTTTCTATGCAATAATATCAATATTTATTACATTCATCTTCGAATTTCTTTATCATTGTTGTCTTATCTTATTCATATTACTTTTTAAGATTATTATTATCTAAAATAATTTATTAATATTATTCTTTTATATCTCTTAATTCTTTTTCCTTTAACAATATAGTCAAAAATTAAAAATGACAGTTAATTCTTTTCTTAACTATTAATATTTTTTAAATCATAGGCTTATACAAATTATTTAAAAATTGAAAACTGAGCTTAAAAATATTAGAATTTAAGAATTTATACAACAATTCTTTTTTAGAAGCATTTTGTAACAATATCATTCTATGGAAGATTTATTAAGAAATCTAAAATATCAAAGATTTTTGCTTTTGATAAAAGGGGCTAATGATGATCATAAATTAATAATATTGTAAAACCAAGAAGGGAAAAAAGACTAGGAAAAAAATAAAGTATTTGATTTATAGTCGATTGGAGACTTCTTAATTAAATACTACTCAATTACTTAGGAGAAATTTAACATAAGTAAATAAGTCAATAATAAAACTTAATTTGAATCATTAAAATATAAAAATATATAGAAAAAGAGGATCAGTAAGATAATTAGGAAATATAGATTATATTGGTGGAGTCTTCGAATCCAGAATAATCAGCAGTTATAGTCATAAGAAATAGAAGTTAGTCAAATACATAATTAAGAACTATTTAAAAAATTGAATATCTAGGAATTGGATTCTTAAATTAGTATTAGATATAAATAAACGTTAAATGAGGCTACTAAAAAATTACAAGACTAAGATAATGAAGATAGCTGGCCTTTACAATATTAAAAAGAGATCGTCATGTGATTTCGAGGAATTCATTAGGTCTAGAGGCTATCAAGAAAACCTTTAAGATTAAATCATAATATTAATTTCAAAGAGTTGATAAACATGATTAATTAGATTAAGTACCTGCATAGTACTTTTAGAAGTAATCAAGTAAATTCTTTGAAGATTTAAATTAAATTAAAAAAAAGTAGGCAGAACTCTATATGTTAATTAATAAGGGATAATCCAAAAGTAATAACCTCTTCTCTAAAGTATTTCATTAGGGACTCGTGCTTTGATAGATGATATGTAATTTATAAATAAGATGAAATTAAATGGAAATTAAAAATATCTTATTTTTCACCTTAATATCATCAGCTTTTGGAATGTCTTAGTTGCATTAAGGTCAAGAACTTATATAGGGTTTACCACATCTAATTTCCTATTACTAACAATAAATTTTAAAAGGAGTCTTAAAATTAAATTTCCTGCACTAAATCAATCACTTTAACTGATAATGATATAGGTATTTCGAATATACATACTAAAAGTTTGGTCTGGAGTAGGTATTCGATAATTAAGTCATATGTCTGAAAGTAAAAATCTATTTAAACTTCTCAGCTAACTACTTAGATGATTAACAATAGATTTCACTTGTATTTACTGTTTATTAATTCCGCCCCTAACATCTTCAAAAAATCCCAACTACTTAAAATATATTTCTTTTGTACTCAAATCATATGGGCTTTTATAAATAAGATATTCTTAATTTAAATATAAGATTCAAATATGCTCAGTTAAAGATTCCCTAAATTTAAATTAATTTGTTTTAAGATAGCAGCCTGAATAGATGGGAGTTGATAAGCAAAAAATTATTATACCTGCGGTTTAGGAGTAATATGTATGGACCCTAATCTCTTGATTCACATAATAATAAGAATTAGATGTAGATATAATAATTGAATAATTATAAAGATAGAGTGAAATTTATGGCTTCATTTTGGGAATCTAAATGTAGTCATGGTAGGTGATATTAAAAAAATATTAACATTACTTAAAAATTTTTAGAATTTATGAGTTTTCATAGAAAAAATAGGATATTGAGAAAGGAAAAGAGTTATATCATCCATCCATTATAATTAAATGTTAAAAGGGTATCATAGACCGTTGTCTATGAACTTTAGTCAATATCTATTTTAAAGATTTATTTTGTGTAATTGCGTAAAAGTCTTTTGATGAAGACACTAAGAGTTTGAAGAAGTATAATTGAACACTAAATTAATTTGGATAACAGATACTATAGTTAAATACTCTGATAGATATTGAAATGAATCCGACAAATGTAGAAGAGTTTATTGTTTAAATAGGAAATTAAGGAATAAGTGAGCTTCATCATATAAAGACTATGGTTCGCTGATATTGCAGATTTAATAATGGTAAACAGTTTGATAATGTTATCCTAATGGGATGGTGTGTTATAAAACTCTAAAATAATCTGCTTTGAAATTTTTTGAAATAGAAGAATCTAAAGATTTTTTGATTCAACTTAAACTATGACAAGATTTGAACCCATTCAAGTCTAATTTTGTAGGGACTAATATTTAAATGTATTAGCAATAGTCTATAGAAAGGTGATTCGTAAATTTAGTAGAAACTAATTCAATCTATTTATCGGATATAAATCTCATATCTTGGCTTAATCTTCACAGTTTGAGTCTTTCCATTATTTCTATGATTGGATTCCTCTTGTATGAAAAGTTAGATGTATGGTTTTTTCAACAAGATATCCTCATTTGCATAGGAAGATTTAGTTGTTTGAAATCAGACAAAAAAAGTTGATGATAAAATATTAAGGAGAATAAAAAATTTAGTTCCCTAAAAGGAGAAAGATTGAATTCTAACTTTATGGGGGTTCAAATTATATGATTTGGAGCGGGTTAAGGCTGATATAAAGAAAGAGAGAAATTCAAAAGCTGGAGGGATAAATTAGTAAGACTTACTTAAAGTATAGAGAGTGAACCCTATCTTAGAGTAAAGTAATATGATTTGACAAAATATGGATAAATATCTATGATATTATGGATTCTGCACTAAAATAGAGAGCAATTGTCAGCATTAGAACGTTAGCTGAATGCAAAATGCAAGAAATCTTAGATAAGTACCAAGAAGAATATTAAGAGTAATGATTGATATTAAATATTAATAATAATCATAATAACATGTGGATAAAACCAAAAATGGCTACAATATATAAACCAAAAATATTATTAAGTTAGTCCATTTAAATAGAGTTTTAAGTAGTTTTTGTATTTAATTTTTTATAAATTATCTAAAACAAATTAATAGGACCATATTTCTACAAAAGAAGGGGTTTAAATATTATTCTAAATTATGAGAACCTGGAATCAAAAGTAGGGCATTATTCTTTCCTCTGTATAAAATGATGTTATAAATCCTTAATATTAAATATGTTATAGAAAAATTTCCAATTAATTTAGCCAATCTCTCATAAACCTGAGCATCAATTTATAAAGACACTATAGGATTGGATGTATTCTTTTCTTTCGAAGCTTTTGTTCCTTCCCTCCATCAAATATTGAATATCCAGATTTTTTTTTAAACTGATCCTTTCCTTTATAAAGTTTCTCCATTCGCCTCTCACCTTTATCCAATAAGTTAAGCATATTTTCTGACTCAGTCTCCAAATATCTTTTATTTTCAAACCCTTATTTTCTTTGAATAGGGTAAGTTTCCTCTCTACCAAGGTCTCCCGAACACTTAACTGAATCCTTTTTAATACCTCTCACAATACTTGATTAATTCTACTTATTCATCACTCCAAAAACTTTGAGGGATCCTTTCTTTAAAAGTAGTATGTTAATTTTAAATCCCCCAATGTTCTTTATTCACATAGTTCTGTTATTAACTATTTAATAAGTTTCTGGAAATCTTCCATACTAATTTTAGAGATATTTAAAATTTCTTTACACTCCTAAACCGAAATATTTTGTTCCAATTTTAAGTTCAACTCTGCTATTTTTATATCTTCGCTCCTCCGTCAAAATTAATTTCTTCCCTTTATAATCGAAAGTATTATCTCCAATTACTTCATACTCTTCATGATCTTGAATAAAATTTAATACTTAAGCACACTTAGACTAATTATGAGTGGAGCCCAAAATACAAAAAATTTTTACTCCTCCCTCATTTTTGTCTCTTAAGCTTCATCTCCAAATTCATCCCACCCTCCCTAATTGTCTTAGGTATTATTCCTATTTTCCTTTAGATAATGTTTTTTAATATTAATCCTAATCTCAAAATTTTTCAATAATATTCTCATATAGTCTTTAATACTGGATAATCTCTCAATCAGTCAATGTCTATTAATACTTTCCCCTATGAATTATTCCTTTTATGATTCCTTAATTTCCATAATTTTTGCTGTTAAACACAAACTTATTTTCTAAAAATTACCTCATTATTTTCAAATATTTTTAGGTACTAGTTATTTTCAAAATATGTGTGCTGATTATAATTTATTTGCCTCTGATAGTTGTTTTTCAAATATCTATGATTGTGTTGAAGGTTGTAGTAGTTGTATTAAAGGTGAATGTTGGGTTTGCTAAGATGGTTGAGAATATAAAAATAGTTTAAGAATATTTATTCCAATTTATGGAGATTCAAGAATAACCAGTTATGAATAATGTGACGATGGAAATTAAATGCCTAATGATGGATGTCATTTATGTATATATTCTTGTATAAAAAATTTCTTTTTATGTTAATTTGGAATTTGTCATTTATGCAATATTACATCTAGATTATCAGTTGATTAATAAATTTTTATAAGAATTGATGATGACTAAGATGTTAAAAACCTTATTTAAACTTAAGTTTTTTGAAATGATTTACGATTATGCTCAAAAGAGTGCTAAATTTGGTAAAAATGTTCAGATTTATAATAGAATATTTGCTATCATATTTATCAGCAAATGATAGAATAATCATCAGAAACAGTGGAAGAAAGTAAAGAAGAAGAGGAAGAAGAAAGAAAAAGAGTATGAGAATCTTACTATTGAGTGCATGTCTTATTGTTTACATTGTGAAGATTAGCATTCTTGTTTACAATGTGAATGAATTTTTAAATTAAAAAATAAATAATACTTGCCAATTTGTGGTGATGATGTTATTATTTAAGGATATGAGGATTGTGAAGATGGAAATAATGATCCATACGATGGATGTTATTAATGTTAATTTCAATGTTCATTTGGATGCATAAGTTGTGAATAAGGCAATATTTGTAGAAAATGTGATAATTTAACTATTTTAAATAATGATACTGGATAATGTGAAAAAGAAGATATTTACAATTCTAATTAATTTACTGAGGAGAATAATACAAACTCAAATAGTATATTAGGAATATAAAATTCAATTTTAGATGATAATTAATGTGGAAATGGTATACTTAATAACAATTATGAATTATGTGATGATGGGAATAATGTTGGAGATGATGGATGCTCAAGTATGTGTCTAATTGAAGATAACTGGAACTGTAAAAATTAATTCTATCAAAGTATATGCTTTCCCAAAACATAACTTTTATTAACATATTTAAATCATTCAAATTCTTATTAATATGTTGAATTATCTTTTAGTAATTAAGTAAAAACTATGTAATCTAATGTTAATTTTATTGATTGCATTGATATCAAATTATCGACCAAAAATTACAGTTTTTTGATTAAAGAAGTAGTTGGGATTAGCTAATAGATTTTATCTATTCCTATTTATTAAATTTAAATTAATTTTTATGATTCAATAGTTAATCCAATATTATCAATATCTATCAATTCAAAATTAAATGATATTAATAATTTTGAAGTGAGCAACTATAAAAAAAATATCACACTTTAATCTGTTCTAATTTTGAGTAGTANATCTCCAAATTCATCCCACCCTCCCTAATTGTCTTAGGTATTATTCCTATTTTCCTTTAGATAATGTTTTTTAATATTAATCCTAATCTCAAAATTTTTCAATAATATTCTCATATAGTCTTTAATACTGGATAATCTCTCAATCAGTCAATGTCTATTAATACTTTCCCCTATGAATTATTCCTTTTATGATTCCTTAATTTCCATAATTTTTGCTGTTAAACACAAACTTATTTTCTAAAAATTACCTCATTATTTTCAAATATTTTTAGGTACTAGTTATTTTCAAAATATGTGTGCTGATTATAATTTATTTGCCTCTGATAGTTGTTTTTCAAATATCTATGATTGTGTTGAAGGTTGTAGTAGTTGTATTAAAGGTGAATGTTGGGTTTGCTAAGATGGTTGAGAATATAAAAATAGTTTAAGAATATTTATTCCAATTTATGGAGATTCAAGAATAACCAGTTATGAATAATGTGACGATGGAAATTAAATGCCTAATGATGGATGTCATTTATGTATATATTCTTGTATAAAAAATTTCTTTTTATGTTAATTTGGAATTTGTTATTTATGCAATATTACATCTAGATTATCAGTTGATTAATAAATTTTTATAAGAATTGATGATGACTAAGATGTTAAAAACCTTATTTAAACTTAAGTTTTTTGAAATGATTTACGATTATGCTCAAAAGAGTGCAAAATTTGGTAAGAATGTTCAGATTTATAATAGAATAATTGCTATCATATTTGTCAGCAAATAATAGAATAATCATCAGAAACAGTGGAAGAAAGTAAAGAAGAAGAGGAAGAAGAAAGAAAAAGAGTATGAGAATCTTACTATTGAGTGCATGTCTTATTGTTTACATTGTGAAGATTAGCATTCTTGTTTACAATGTGAATGAATTTTTAAATTAAAAAATAAATAATACTTGCCAATTTGTGGTGATGATGTTATTATTTAAGGATATGAGGATTGTGAAGATGGAAATAATGATCCATACGATAATATTAATGTTAATTTCAATGTTCATTTGGATGCATAAATTGTGAATAAGGTAATATTTGTACACAATGTGTTAATTTAAAAATTTTAAATAATTACAATAACAATTAATTTATTGACGAGAATAATACAAAATCAACTGGTTTTTTAGGAATAGAAAATTAAATTCTAAGTAGGTGATTAATGTGGCAATGGTATACTTAATAAATAATTATGAATTATGTGATGATGGGAATAATGGGAATAATGTTGGAGATGATAGATTTTCAAGTATGTGTTTAATTGAAGATAACTAGAATTGTAACAATTAATTCTTTCAAAGCATATGCTTTCCAAAAACATAAATTTTGTTAACATATTTAAATCATACAAATTCTAACTAATATGCTGAATTATCTTTCAGTAATTAAGTAAATACAATTGAATCTAATGTAAACTCTATTGATTGCATTCACATTAAATTATCAACCAAAAATTACAGTGTAACCATTAAAGAAGTAGTTGGGATTAACTAATAAGTTTATCTATTCCTATTTATGAAATTTAAATTGAATTTCTTGATTCAATAATTAATCAAATATTATCAATTGATATCAATTCAAAATTAAAGGATATTAATAATTTTGAAGTTACCAACAATTAAAAATATATCATACTTTAATCTATTGTAATTTTGAATAGTAATTAGAAGGATGCTGCCGTTAAAATTTATAATTTTGCTTTTTGGATGATGATTGGTTTTGGTTCAGGCAGTGCATTTCTCTTATTTTTTGGTGAAATTCTATTTAGATTATATAAAGAAGTGTTTATTTCATAATTTTTTGATGTGAAGTAAATTGGCTTAAAATAATAGACAATAAAATAAATACGAATTTTAAATTGGTTTAGATTAAAATTCTACATGATAAGTATTAAATTTTTAAATGGAAATCTATTTTAATTTACTAAGTTTTTACATAAATTTTTTGTTATGCTAATTATTTGGATTTAAGTTTTAAAACCATTAACTATTTATTATCAAATAATGATTACAATATTAGATCAACAATTAGTATTTCCATTAGTATAATTTATTTTATCATATAATTATTGTTTATTATTACAATTTAAGAAGTATTCATTTTAAACATAACCTTAGAGATGAAAAACATAAAGGGATTTTAATTTTTAAAAGTTATTATTTTCATTAATTTTAATAGGAATGTAAACTCAAACAGCTATTTAATGCCTTCTTTTAACATTAATAAATTTATCTTATCTATCATTCTTAATTATCATGAAATATTCAAAAAATAAAAATGAGTTAATAAATAATATTTGGGTAGAATTTCCAGTACATGTAATAGCAATTCAATTTACTATAATGATAGTTACATTTTTAAATGTTCCCTATACTTCTGAATTCAGAAAATATTTAACTCTAATTATTATATCAACTTAGGATTTACTTAAATTTGTTTATTAGGTCCTTTAGTTAGATGCTCAATTTCATTTTACAAAAATTTAAAGCTATCAAAACTATTTTACCTCAAAACCAGAGTTCTTTAGATAAAATTTATATATCTTCGAAATTGAATAATTATAATGCAGAAAAGTAATTAAAAATATTCTAATCATTTTTTTCCAATAAACTGTCTTAATGAGAATTTTAGATCTATTTAAATAAATCAATTATTTAAATTAATTCATTTTTCCCCAATATAAACTGATATAAATTATTTTCTTCCATGATACAAGTTTTCTTTTTAAATAAATAAGTATACCTAATTTTTTCTTTATGTTGTTTATTTAGTGATTCGAAGATGAAATTAAAATTTCGCTATCAAGTCGGATAATCTATTTCAAAAATTTTTTGATTTTCGACCAAATCATATAAATTAATATTAGAGGACACTTTCAAAGAATCGGAAAACTTGATGTTGCTAAAAGACTTCTTAATGAATGAAAAAAAAGATGAATTTATAATGTAATATTTTATTAAAAATTTTATTTCTTTGTAAACTGTATCATAAAATTTGATGGAAAATAATTGCAATTGTATTTCAATATAATATAATTGTAAATTATTGATGATTATTTTTATTGATTTTGAAAAAAGAGGTTTATCAATTTTTGAAGAGCTTCTGAGAATAATTTCAGATATAGTAGTAAGTTATTTGTTATTTTAAGCATTTCTTAGGCAGGTAATTATCTTTAAATTAACAAGAAATCTTAGTTAATAATACAGGAATTAGCATTACTTAATTCATGAAAAAAAGTATTGATAGTAAATTGAAATAAATTATTGCAAAAGAATTTTATTTAATTCTAATCGATCAATAAAGAAAGTATGAATTAAAATTAAAGTTATACATAATTGTGAGTTTAGTTTCCGATAAATAAATAACGGTAAAGAATAATTGGAAAATTTAAACTATTCTTAGTTAAAGTACCTTTGATATTACGTAAATTTTATAAATTTAAAATTAAAAATAACAATTATTTTACTCGCTTTATTAAGAAATCATTTACTTTAATTTTATATTATACACTCTTAGAATTTGGTTATGTAATTATGAAATAATATTAATTGAGTCACAACTGATTTCATGTTTATAATTGTGTCAGCCTGTTTACCAAAGGGGGTAAATCTCACTCCCGTAGTTGTACATGAGCATCGAGCATACCCACTCTCTCAGGGCCCCTCTCAAAGCCTTTACTCCAAGTTCAAATTGTTGAACCTCCCTTCTCCTACTGACGGCCATCCTGCTTCAGAAAGACACCCTATATTACCAGAACCTGCATTGTGAAGCTATTCGGGCTCCTTCTTTATGGGCTTCCAAGTCTAGTAGCCTTTGTGACACCTTTTTGCTGCAAAAAGGTTAGTTTAAGTGGGTCTTTTTTTTCAAAGGCTCGATCCTGGAAGTGCTTAATTTTTAATTTTTTTTGAAAGAATATCAGATATGGTTAAGTTTAGCATTGATAGAATATGTGTCCATATCTCTATTTAACATAAAAAGATTTATATGATATTTTATTTTGATTAAACCAAATTGAGAATTGTGGTTTAATTGAACAAATATCATATGTATTTAATAAATCTAGTTTATTAAGAAAAATTAAATTATATAAATTAGACCTTTTAAAAGAAGTTGTAATTAAACTCATGAAGGATATTATAGAAAGCTTAGTATCGTTCTAAGATCGAGAATGTAAGCAGATAATAAGCTTAATGGTAACGGCCACTCTGAAGAAAAGATCTAAGAAATTAAGGAATCAGGAGATAAAATTACATCTGAAAGATAGGATCTCTTTATTGAAACTTTGTAGGCTGACTAAGTGTTATAATTACTTCTTTTTCAACCCTTGTGGCTTGAGGTCCCTTGAGCTTATGTAGATGAACAATTCTTGGGTAAGATCTACATATTGTGGTGTACTATACAGCCTTTTGATGAAGGCCTTTAAAATTCTGTAAGAATATATATGCTTTTTTCATCCTGATAGAGTTAAAGACTTGTGTTTTGTTTCTGGTACTCAAAATTGAGTTCCAATGAAAAGATTTATCCATCTATATCATTCAATATTATTATTATTGTCATTAGACCTTTTTAATACACAATTTATAATAAAAAATTAAGAACTTCAGAATTTAGGATCTTAAAATTTTTTAATAAATATTTAAGGTATTTTATGGAAATAATATTGGTATTTAAAAAATAATAATTATTATTAATAGGATAATGAGTAATTTTTAGTTTTTTTATAATATTTATTCTAATTGATTTATTTATTGAACAAAAAGATTATATAAAAATAATAATAGATAACCTACCAATTCATCTATCTATTGAGATATGAAGATTAAAGGTTTATTTTTACTATAAGCTATGTCAACTTTACATACAAGAATTATACATTTAAATTTTTTTCCTTTTTAAAAATGGCTGGTTAAAACTGTAGAAAATATATCATTGTAATTAATACATTTACTGAAGGTTTTTGTTTTTATCATAAATTTTAGTAAACTGTTATATTAAAGCTCCATCATAAAGATTATTTACCAAAGATTTAAACTAAATATATAATTAGGTGATTATTGAATCTAACAAAAAATTGTGTTGAAAAAAGTCTAATATATTTTGAAAATTAGAAAACTTATATTTTTCTCTCTTAATTGTAATTATACACATCTCTTTCTAAAAGATCCTCATTATCAAAATCATGTACCTTTTGATCGAATAAGTAGTTAGATTTGACCTTAGATTTGGCAATCAATGAATAGCTGGTTGTGTTCTGGAAACAAATGTTCCACCAGATTCTTATTTTATGGCTCCCCTTACTCTTACGAGTGTTCCATATCTATTCATGGTCATTCGATATAGGTGACTCCTAATTACTCCTCAGACAGATAAGAAAACTTTCAATCTTATCAATTGGAACATTGCTCAAATATCTTAGTTTCATTAAGTAATTTACATAATTAATTTAAATACTAAAATTTGTAGTCATATTTGGATTGATCCAAATACTTATATTCAGAAAGAATGGTTTCTTTGCTATTTGAAAGTAATCGTCAAAGTCATTTCTTAATTGGGCCAAGTCTCTATTAAGAATAACTTCTGCAAAACTTGTCATCAGCAATGTATATTACGGAAAGGATAAGTATTATAAGCTGAAAAAACATCTTGCAAATATTGGCTGATCCCTATTTATGCACCACACTTATCCTGAGTATAATGCGATCATTATTAGTTCTCTTCTCCTTGAAAGATGAATTGATGCGAAAGATCTTTGTTTAAATGATGTTCAATTTAGATGTACACCAAATATCATTAAATTTCCTCTAGCCTTTCTTGGAATTTCATTTTTAATAGAGTTCACTTTTTTCTTTCTTAAGTAGAAAATTTGATGAAGCTATATAGAAGGATTATTTCTTAGAATAGAATCACCTAAACATTTTAAATTTAGTTTTTATTTATTTTAACTATTTCACATAGGATAAATTTAAAGATAATAAAAAATAATTTTAGGTTTTAAACTTCAAATCCTAAATCTATGGTTAATTTACTTAAATTGGATTCCTGATAATATTGTACATATTTGTAAAATACTATACTAAATTTGTCTACACTAATTGCTTTGGCTTTAAATTTATCTATTATATTAGACTAATGAATAATACAATTATTTAAATTTAGGGATTAAATTTTATTATCTCAATAAAAGTCTTTGTAAAATAAATGGTATATTTAATAAAAAAGGTATACTACAATTAGTCCATGCTAATAGTTGGGATCTAATATTTAAAGTTTTATGATATTCAGCTTCTAATTCTATGCTTGGAATAAGAGAAATAATTTCTACTATTCTTTCTATTTGATGCTTAGTATCCTTAATAATTTTTATAAGTTAAAATTGCAAAAGATGATATTATTTTAATTAAAAAATTCTTATTTTTAACAGTTCTTATTATCATGTAAAGTTGCCCACTTATATAATGTATATTACTTACATGTATATTATTTTTGGATCTTGGATAAATAATGAATATTGAATTTAATACAAATAAACTTGATTTATTCATCATTATTTGGATGGAAGCACCAGTAATGGTCCTTATGATTAAAATTATTATTTTTTTGAGAATACATTATTTTGTATGATTTATTGCTCTGATTTTTAAAATTATTTATAATTAGATTAATAAACATTGTTTGGATTTGCTTAAATTAGTTTTTTGGTATCAGCTTTACATCTCCCTTAGTTAGGTGTGAATATTAGTTTTTCTGTAAAGTTAAATCATATTATTTGAAAAATAGAAAGAAGATGGATCCAATTTATCTCAATGTTAAAAATATATTTTGGATAATTGAAAACAATAGCAATAAGTGATTATAATAAAGTATTATTTTTTTTTTATTAAATCAATTTGATAATTTTAATTTTAACTATTGTTTATATTATTATCTTTAATTATCGAATCTTTTAATATAATCAATTTGATTAAGTTTAGTTATTATATTAAGATGCTATTTTTTTAATCTACTTCTTTTATAAATAAATTAATATGTTTAAACATTTTTATAACAAAATATAGCTTTCGATTTTATAAGGGCAATATATTTATAATTAATGAAACATTAGTTTCATAAGATACTTCAGTTGTGGAACAGTGTACTGATATAATCTATCACTATTTAAACTAATTAATTTAAATTTCGGGGATTTTGTGGATTCAGAGTTGGATAAATAATATCTTAAAATTGTATTACACCAATCTTTAATTACATTTTTATTTTATAATTGATTTATTATAAATATTATTTACAAAGTTTAAACCAACGTAATTTCAATTAACTACCAGGTTCACAAAGAAAACACTACTTAAATTAAGGTGAATTTAAGATTTTGGATTAATAAAGTATTTTCAGTTTATTGTATACAAGTAAAAATAATTGGATACCCAAGTTAAGTATTGCTAATTAAATTAGGTTATTAGGATATTTTTCTAATTTCTTTTAAAATTATTGTTTTAAATACATAAATAATTATGATGTATTAGATATATTTCTATTGAAATCTCAATTTGATATAGTCGTCCTTGCATAAAAAGTTTGATTCTTTTCTTTTATTTAAACTAATTATTTCCGTTAATTCTTACCATATTCTTCGCAATTCAATTAAAACACTTGAGTATCAAAACCCTTCAAATGTTAAATTTATGGCTTTTTCATAAAATAAGGAAAATTAATACTATGCGATATTTCTTCTTCCAAATATTGTATTGGAATACATTTAAATCTTTCAGAAATTAATCATGAAAGTCAAATGTGATTTTTTTTCTTTTCTAATTTGCTTTTGCTTTTGATTTCATTAATTAGTTTACATAAACTGTCATTTTTATTAGTTATCTCTTCTAAATTTTATTTTGTAATTATTTAACAATAAAAATAATCATAAAAATAATAAAAATAAATTAGACTAAAAGATTTTTAATCATGGTTATATATGGATGAATTATGTTAATGCAAGCTTATTCCTGCTTTTCTAAACAATTTGTTAAGTTATGGATTTTATTGTTTATAGATTATTTATTTTATCCAAAATGATTATGATGGTTTAAAGATTATATATGTGTATATTAAATTAATTCGTAATTGATAAATGAATACTTAAAGTTATTAACCATACAACTTACTATAAGCTTATGTACGATTAAAAATGCAACATATTGGTTTATGATAAAACTTTCTTTTATCACTTCTTAAGACTAAAAGTTTTGGATAAAAGTAAAAAACAGAAATCAATAAATATGTAAGCGATTAAATAATAAAAAATAGTATTAGTATTCAGATAAAGATATAAAAAAAAGTAGATCTCAAAATAGTCAAGGCTTGCCATTAATTCAGTTCTTACCCTTCAATTGCAAAAGAACATTTTTATTCCTAAAATCTTTTTATTAAATTTTATTCTTCTATAATATCTGTTAAAAATCACTAGTAGAAATTGTATTTATTTATTGAAACTACAGATTACTCAATTATTTATCACTAAGAATAAATGGTTTTTGAAATATTTATATTCCATATTTTAAAATCCACAAAATTTTTTTATTTCTGTTCCAAATTTTACATAAATTATTAATACACTATCAAATTAACCCTAAAAACAACATCATAAATATATAAAAATTCAATTACCTATTCTCTTAAGGCATTCCCTCAAACTATTACAGATACTTTTTGTGGAAAGATTCTTTAAACACCGTATAAACTAGTTTAAAATTCCTAATTTAAATGATTATTATTCCATGAAAATAGATATCAGATTGATTTTAAGTCTTATCAGAAATATATTATTTTAGCTATGGTATTTTACCCTTTAACAAAACAATAAAATTTGCTTTAATTAAAATAAACAAATCCATAAAAGTTCATTAATTACCTAAAGATGATATTAAAGGTTTAAAATTTATTTTTTTTTTAGGAGTTTGAAGGTGAAAGATTGTTTTGGTATAGATTTCTGAAGACCAAATTCTTAATTATTATTAGTAATAATAATACAGAAATCAAGTATGTTACTGAGGATGGATAAATATTGAGAATGTAATATAAATTATTTAAATTTAGTGATTACAATAAAGACCCATAAGAGACTCCACATATCTTAAATAATTTAGAATAAATCAAACATCTTTAATGGGTTGGAGAGTATGGAAAGAATCTTAAAAAAGTTGGAGATTGGATAGCCATTTGGAAAGGTCAACAATTAAAGAATGTAGGGGGTAAGTACTCAGAGGAAGGAAAAAAAATAGGGTTTTGGGTAGAATTAACAAGTAATTATATGGAGTAAGATTTAATTTAAATAATAATAATTTATAGATAATCATTAGTATATGAAGCTGGAGAGTATGTTGATGATTAAAGGAGAGGAAAATGGAAATATTTATTTAAGGATTATGAAATGTATGAATTTTTTACATTTTCTTGTGTAGAGGGGGTGGAAATTATAATAAAAAAGGAATAAAAAACGAAAATTGGATTGAGTTAAGTAAATCTTTTTAAAGGTAAATTTGATAAATATAAAAATAAATAAGTGATAAATAAGTCACTTATAATGGAAAATATAGAAATGGTAAAAAAATTGGTATATGGGTTGAATGTTTGAGGATGAATGGGTATTAATCCTTTTAAGTGATGTATGGATTAGAAATAATTATTATTTAGAGGAGGAGGGTATTATGATAACGAGGGTAAAGAGCTAAAAATTGGTAGTTGGGTAGAATTAATTGATTTTGGAATGTAAATGAATGATTATAAATTAATGCATTAGAAATAAGCAAGTCACATTTAATGGATAATATAATAATGGTTATAAAATAGGTAGATGGAATATATTGAGTAGTGATTATTCTTATGATTAAACTAAAAAAATGTAATATATATTATCTATTCTAATTTTAGTGGTGGTGGATGTTATAATGAAAGAGGATTGAAAAATGGAAAATGGGTTGAATTTGATGATCATTCTGCTAGGTATAAAATCATTAACCACTATTTAAACAGTGAAAGTTATATCACTTATTGTGGTGAATATAAAAATGGATAAAAAGTTGGATTATGGAATTTATATTGGAATAATGATATTTATACTTATTAATTAAGTGGAGGTGGATGTTATGAAATAAAGAAAGGAGGACTTAAGAATGGAAAATGGATTGAATCAAGTGATAATTTTGAAAAGTAAGAGATTCATAATTAAATTTAATTTAGATTTCGATAAATCATTTATAATGGTGTTTACAAAGATGGTAAAAAAATGGGTAAATGGGATATCTTTTGGAGAGAATCAAAAGAAAATGATTTTCTTTTGATGTAAAATTATTAACCATTGAATATTAGAGGTGGTGGATCTTATAATGAAATAGAATTTGGAAAGAAGGAAGGAAAATGGAAAGAGTTGAGTGTAACTTTTTCAAAGTATAATGATTTAATCTTATTATTCAGACAAAGTTAAATTATTTTTGATGGCTAATATAAAAATAATTAAAAAATTGGTAGATGGAATACATATTTTAGCAGAAATGAGGAACAGTTTAACTAGATGTAATCTATGTTATTTATTAGTGTAAGTGGTGGTGGAGATTATAACTATGAAAATGGATTAAAATAGGGAAAATGGGTTGATTTATTTGATAATTTTAGAGAGTAAAGAAATATTTTATCAGTTAGAGATAGTTAAGTAACTTATAATGGAGAATATAAAAATGGATAAAGAGTAGGAAGATGGGATATCTATTATCGAGAGACTTTAGGTGAAAATTTTGAATGGATGTAAAAAATTATTAAATAACTTAAAAAAAAGAGGTGGAGGCTCATATGACCTAAAAGAAGGAGGCATTAAAAAAGGAAAATGGATTGAATTGAGTGATACTTTTTAGGAGTATTTGATTGTAATAATATTTAGTTGGAGTTTGTTAATATATCAAGGTGAGTATTAAAATGGGAGAAAAGTTGGAAAGTGGGAGGAGAAAAAGAGAGATTTTTATGCATTTAGTAAAAGATTTCTCAAAACGTATTATTAATTTAAAATACTTTAGAAAGGAAAACGTTTATGAATATTGAAATCATGAAAATCAAAATATAATAAAATAAATATCAATATTTTTTTTGATTTTATTTTTGTCTAAAAATATGTTATTTTATTTAAATTACTAAACAGCTTAGAAAATATATTTAATAGATTTATGATTATATAAATAAATAGATTATGCAATCTTAAAATTAATTACACTTCTTTATAATTGATTCTTATTAACATTTCAAGTTGAAAGAGCAATATTATTATATTCGACTACATATAAACTAATAATTTTTTATCAATAATCAATATTTACAATGATTGGGAGGCAATTATTCAGGTTTAATTGATAAAAGTCAAAGCTAATTCATTTTTAGAAGAGAGTTCCAACCTATTATAAATGTTGATATTCTTATATTTGATGATTCTTCTGTATAAAACATTGACTCCAAAAGTGAATCATGGAAAATAATTACCAAAAATTTAAGGTTAATGAATAAGAAGATTAGGAAAATATTTGGAATAAAAATAAATATTTATATATGATTAGACAATATATGTAGATTTATGTAAATATTTAAATATACAATGGATTAATAAAAAGAATAAGAAAATTTCTAAAATTTATTAAGAAAGTTACAATTCATTATAAATCTCATAAATTCATTTAAAACATATTTTGTTTTATCTCTTACCCTAAAACATAATTACTTAATGCTTATTTAAAAGAATTTTTCTGGTCTTAAAATATTTTAATTTTCTAATTAAATGCAAAAATTAAATCTAGTTTGAAAGCTAAAAGAAAATATTTTCCAAAAAGAATAATAGTTATAAATTAAAAATTTATTGTGGTAACAATGGCAGGAATATCATTTAGATATTCTTATACAGAAAAAATATGATTTATTCAAATTAAGCTAATTTGATGGCTAAGTTACTGAGTTATATCAATAAATAAAAGAAACACTAACATTATCCATACAAATAGATATAAGAATTTCAATCTTAATCAAAAGTTGAAATTAATTTGATAGCATTTAATGAAGACTTTTCGATTCTCTTTTTTCTTTAAGAAAAAACTATGCTATTAGCATGCCAATATAGATAAAATGTCATCCATATTATATATAGAATGCTAATAAGCAAATTATCAAAATATATTTTATATATAGATCTATCCCGAAAAAGTTTATCACATTTCTTAAAGTCTTAAAGTCTTAGAATTTATTAATTTACAATAAGGGTTATTCTAAATTATCAATAGTTTTATATTAAATAAATATCAAAACCTATTAGTATTGGGAGTAGATAAAAGACCATATAATTTTGGAAGTTTAATAATTAATGGGAGAAATTCCAAGATTTCATATTTGATTATACATAAGATTCTGAAATAGAGAATATGTGTTTTAATTAATAAGAAACTTATTTAGCTTGTTAATTTTCATAACGTGAGAAAATACTAGTTATATATTAGTACAATGATATCAATCGATTCTGTTTTCTTAAATAAACAATTTAGATGGGACGTATTGAATAATATTACCTAATAAATAAAATCAGCTTTTAATTTCTGAATAAATATCAGATTGTTTTGGATGTTTAACAGGAAAATAAGTAATTTGAAATTAAAAAAAATCTTGATGAATATATTACTCCTTTATGTTATTTTGAAATGGCGTCTTTACTATTGGATAACAATTCAAAAGATTTCATATTTTTTAAATTAAAAGATAATGGCAAGATTATTGATGTTACCATTTCCTTGAAGACAATAATCTATAAAAATAACTCCAGATTTAAAATATTTTGTAATTTGTTATGAAAATATAATCAAAATTTTTAATTTATTTTAAAAATGAAAAATATCATAATTATTTTGCTTAAATATAATCAATCTTCCAAAAAAACCCAAAATACATTTTACATCTCAGCATTATGTTATATCAATAAATAAAAATTATTTTTTTATAAGTTCAAAATATTAGTTCTTCAATGATGTGCCTCATTTAATAAAGAATTGTAAAGTCTAAATGAATATTATTACAAATATAATATATATTTTAGTGATTTTAGGGATATAATAATATTATTAAATATGAATTTGACAGATCCAATAAAGTCTTGAATGAATAGAAAAAATTGAAGTAGATAATTAAAATGTTGTATTAATTTTCTTATTTGTTTTGAGTAAAAATAAAGGATTGAAAATGAATATCTCACATAGTTATGGCAAAAATAAAAACGACATAACTAGTGTGTCGATATTTTTACTCTCATTAAATTATTATTAAAATATTTATGACCTCTAAGGTTTAAAATGCTCAGAAAGATTAAAAAAAGAGGAAGTTAATGAGTGTATATTATAAAAAGAAGCAAAAAAAATGTTAGTCAATTACTAAGGAAAATTTTCAAATACAGCTTATCCAATTTAAAATTAAGGGGTTACTTTAATTTTAGAATTTGTCAAACATTGCGATTTAAAATGCACAAAAGAAATAATTAACTTGAATGCAGAAAGGATAAAACCTAAATATATTGCGTAAATCATATTAAATTTTAATTTCTTATATAATGGTCTATCTATTTTTAAAGATTTGAGACTTCAATTTTATCATTTGAAGTGATCAAGTGTGATTAACAATAAATAAAACAGCATTTCATTAAGCCTATTGAATATATGTTTTATTGAAAAAAGTAGAGAGACTATCTTTACATTAAATTGTATAATACTTTTCATTGATTAAAAATCTTGTTATATGTTAAATTTCCTAAATCCTAAATTAAATTGGATGCAAAAATAAATAAATCCAATTTTAAACTTAAATATTTAGATTTTGAATATATATATTATGTTGGATTAATATCTTCAAGGTTTACTATAATAAATTCTTTTCAAATTCTAATTAAATTAAAATATAATTTCAAAATTTTTATAGATTTCTTTACAAAATGAGAATACTCAAATATAATGAAATCAAACTATCAATCTAGTCTAAAATTTAGAATTTTCATTCATCTTAAAAGTGAATATCATCATTAATTTCAAATCTCAAGATTTTTTAGATTAAATTCTACTTTGATTTGATAGGATAAAGCTAAATAGTTGAATCTTAAAGCAATGCTTTGCATAATTTTAGCAATTATGAAGCATTTGTATAATAAAAATTCAGGATCTTCAAGTAAACTCAAAACAAAATTAGAAATATTATTTTTCTTGAATGAAACATCTAGCAGAAGCGAAAATTTAAGAGGGTAATTTGAATCAAAATGAACAGAAGAAAGTTGAGTTGAAAAAACATAAAGAAAAATTCACAAACGAATAAATTCTACTTCTTAAAATCCTTAAAGAATAAATGAACGATCATATAATTGAAATTATTGCTTTTGGATAGACTTAAGAAGGAAAATGCTATACCGTAATGGAATTTTGAAATTAAATTAATTTGATGAATCTGGCTAATAAGTAATAAGCATGTTTAGAAGTAAATATTACTTTAATTAGATGGGAAAATCTAAATAATACATAAATATTCTATAATATGGATATTTTCATAGAGATTTAAAACCTGAACACTTTGTTATAAGTTAAAAAGGAAAAATTAAACTAATAGATTTTGGAATTGTAAAAAAATGGATGATAATTTCTTTATGTCGTTCGATTGAGTTATTCACATTTATTAGTTCCAATTAAGTCTATTATCATGGTGAACATTAAAATTGGAATAAAGTTGGTAAATAGGATATTTTTTATAAAGATGTTGGAGTGAAAAAAGAATGGATATAAAGACTATTTCTATTAATATCTTTAGAGGAGGATGTTATGAGATTACCAAAGGAGATGATAATTTTTTTTCAAATTTATAATGGAAGATGGATCGAATTAAGTGATAGATTTGATAGGTATTGAGTTTAAATATTTAATGATAAGTTTTAGTTAAACTATTTTTAAAGGTGATTAGAAATGAGGTAAGAAAGTTGATAGATAGTATAAGATGAAGAAATAAGGAAAAAAAATGAAAGAAGACTTTAATTAAATGTAATTTATAATAACTCAAATTATTAGCGGGGAGGAGTATTACTGAAATTGAAAAATAAAATAAGTTTTCAAGTTATTTATTATATTAAAAAGGTATCTTCTTCCATATCTCTGAATTTGAAAGAAAATATATTTTTCAGTATGTATAAATATTATTTCCAGATTTTTTTTGGTTGATAAACATATATATAATAATTAATTAAAAATATA